TCACGCTCTGCACAAAACATCGACTGAACGTCAAATCTGCCAATTATCTCTAATTTACTCCTTTTTGCATTTTTCATCCAAAAGTGCCTTCAAAACATAAAACAAAGAATATCAAGGCATTTTACATATAAAACATGGACAAAACATTAGGTAAATATGGGTGAAACAATCGAATAATATGGTTACATCACCGGGTTATTTATTACTTCGACACTCCTACACTTGGGAGAAGACATCAATCTTTTAGTCGTGTCACCAATAGAGAGAGAGAGAGAGAAAGAGATGAAACCCAAAAATGAATGCATAAGGAAGAAAAGAGAAGCAAATTTGAAAAAAATTTAAAACTAAAAACAATTGTCTTGTGTGTTGATTTCTTTGTTTTGTAAATAACGATGATACTCATTGCCGACAAGGAAAGGAAGAGGGGGAAAAGGCACTTCAGATCCACCAACTTTTTCAATCAACGATAGTGCGTGGAGTCAAGCTTCAATAATGATGGTGGTGCATGGAACCCACACACCACGACTGCTTCGTTATATCCAGCGCATCCTTATAGCTTCTAACATTTTTTGGATATTGTTCAAAAGATGTATTGCAAATTTTGAATGATTTTGTGTGTTTTGATTACAAGTAATTTGTGTAATTGTAAGTGTACGTGAGTGAATTAGTGAAATATGTGTGTTGCATGATTTTTAATTTTTTGCAATTGTTAAAACAAATAACATAAAAAAGAAATAATAAAAATCCTATAATTTTTTTCTTAAAAATCACATATGGCCAAGCTTAAAAAAAACATCTCTTTGCATAATTTAGCATAAAAAATACCATGATTAGCATAAGAAAAAATAATAAAAAAAACAACAAAAAAACAGAGAAATTATTTTGTGTTTTTTAGCACAAAAAAATGTATTAATTTTGCATGAATTTTTTGGGTTTGATAAAAAATTTATCAAGCTTATTAAAAGCTTGCTTGAAACATAATAACCCATTGGGCCTATATATAAAAAGCCCAAAACTCATTTTTTTTAAAAAAGAGTCCAAAACCCATTTCTGTCATTTTTACGGGTGAAATGACCATTTTTGAAAAACTCAATATATAAAGTGTTTATGTTATATGGATTCATGACAAGTATCAATCATTATTCACTGACATCATAGTTAAAAGTATCAACTATGATGCTCATTGATGTCAGAGTAAAAAATATCAACCCTAATATTTATTAACGTTACAGTAAAAAATATTATATGCAAATTATTGATAATATAACACAACAACAATCTAAAGCAATTTAAAGATAAAATCAACAATGTATCCTATCTTAGGTAGGATGTTTTAGAGGTGATAGTATCTTTCCTTTTACTTAACTAGTATCATACCATAGGATTATTATCAACTATTAGAGTTTCTATTGACCATAATATTAGGTAGTGACTTCTTAAACTAGATCTTTTCCCTTTAAGAAAAAGATGTTAGGTATGTGTTTTTATTTTTTACCTAATTTATAAAGGTTGTCGCAATGTTAGGTAAGACAATAAAAACAAAGTTTTCATGCTAAAACTTCTTCATGTAACTCAAATTTTTAATGTTTTCACATTCTTGATAGAATTTCATCCTAACTTCAAACATACCATTCTTTCTTGTTTGAATGATTTATTAGACCTACCATATATGGTTGGAAATCTTGAGAAGTCTAGTTTTTATCCTAACTTGAATAGCAACACAAGTGCACCTATAACTCCAAATATATTTCAAATAGTACATGAAAGTCTAGCTTGAAAAATTTGAAAAGATTTTTCTAGTACCTTCGACCCTCTAAAATAATATGTTCTCAAACTCTGTTTAAATTAAAACATTATCACAATATAATTCTATATGTTCAGTATCTCCCTGTAAAATTCTAGCTTTTTGAAATTGATTCCTTCATCTGTTAATATTATCACAATATAATTCTATATGTTTAGTATCTCCCTGTAAAATTCTAGCTTGATATGATGTACAGTTGGAGAGATATGCTCAATCTCTCAAAATTAAGAAGCAAACACTTTAATGCTAAATTCAAACCTAACTTGGTGCATATCAATATTTTCATGAACTTTGTTTTAGGTTTATCTTCGTAAAAAAGAGGTAGGGATTTAATTTTTATGGTTATGGATAGGTTTTATAAAATAACGTCACATTTTATATCATGTCATAAAACTGATGATGTAACCAATATTGTTGATTTATTCCTTAAGGAGATAGTATGAGTTCATGGTGTTCCATAAACATCATTTTTTATCATGATGTTAAATTTTTTAGTTGCTTTTGGAAGATTTTATGAAAAAAGTTGAGAATTAAATTGTTGTTTTCTACTATTTGTTATCCATAAATGGATGGTTAAATGAAAGTAGTAAATAGAACTTTAACTATTTTATTACGCATGCCATTTAAAAGAATTTGAAAAATTAAGAAGAATATTTTTCATTAATAGAGTTTGTATATAATAGGAATGTGCATTCTACTAGCGATCATTCACCATTTGAGATTGTTTATGGTTTTAATCCACTAATCCTTTTTGAAATTGATTCCTTCATCTGTTAATAAAAGGGTTAGTCTTGATGTCAATAGAAAAGCGAAGATGGTGAAGACACTCTATATAAGTGTTCGACAACTTATAAAGAAAAAAGAATGAATAATATGCATCTAAGGCTAAAAAAGATTGTAGACATGTTATCTTTGAATCAAGTGATTAAGCTTGGGTGCATATGAGGAAGAAAAAATTTTCAACCAATAAAATATCTAAATTGCATCATAAAGAAGATGATTTATTTCAAGTTCTTAAACGAATCAACAATAATATATATAAAGTTAATCTTCCATGTGAGTATAGTGTTAGATACTTTTAATATTTTTTATTTTTCTTTCTTTGATGCATATAATTATTCAACATTGAATCTTTTTTAGAAGAGAAAGAATAATGAAAATTAATAAATATCATCAAATGATTCATTAGATGTTCTAATTGGGTCAATTACAAGGTCAAATGCTGAAAATATTAAAAAGACATTCAATGGAACAATTCTACATATTTGGGCAAGTCAAGAATAAATATTATAATAAAGGATGATCAAACTTTAATTAATATAATCCTTGCAGGTAGTTCTTGGACTCAAAGCATGTAGATTATGCTTATTTTTTTAATATGCAATTTTATATTAATAAATATAATGTTTTATCTGATCATTGGATTAAGATATAATTTTTCCATAATATTTTAAAGATATTTTTTCCTATGAGGTAAAAATTACGTAGCAATCAAGCATTAGGAAGACTTTGAGATAAAGCCCACAAGTTACTTCTTGGGATTTATAATATTTTCTTAGTTGATTTATGATACTTTTTTCTATTTTATTTAAAAAAATTTTTTGTTATTTTTTCATTTTTACTTAGGATGTTTTACATAGTATAAATAAGTTTATCTAGCTTATATTTAGGTTTTGGAGTATTTTTTATTTTAAAACTAATATTGTGAGTGCAAAGTTTCTTATAATCTTGATTTTTCATTAAATTCTTTAGAACTTATCAAATATTATTTATTTATAACGTTCATCCTTATACTTTTAGTTCTTGATTCTCTGCATCACTTGGTTGAGGTTTTCATCCTATAACTATGGTTATTTAATTCAAGTAATTACCAGATTAGGTTCTTTTTAATTAATTATAGGCTTTAGTATTTTTACTGTTCCAGTTTGCATCACCATATCTTTAGGTGAATAATTAAGATATGCTAAAGTTCCTTGACATTTATGTTATTGCATTTTGCTAAACATGTGCATCATAAAAGCATGTGTTAAATGTGACAACACATGGCATGATGAAATTGCAATAATAAAACTTGTGTGAAAAACGGTGAAGAGCAGATCAATAGCTAGCATAACGATGAGTAGAATAAAGAGAAATAACAAAGCTAAATAGCTTTTTTAAAAATATATATCAAATAAGGGTTTTATGGTACTATTCAATATAGCATGGGTAGTTGATTGCAGTGTATACAAACAAATAAGACAACTAAATGAAAATAAAATCTTTCTTTCTTTCTTTCTTTTTTAAAAAGAACAGGAAACATGTTAGGCAACATCCCCTGTTTATTCTCAAACTTGAGAGATTAAAATAAATATCTTGAATATTAAGATTTGTATAGATGATGGTTAATGCCTATGCAACTAGAAGAAAGAACTTATGAGTGTGTACGTGTAATGAATATTAGTTTTATTTATTATTTACTCTAAACTAAAATTTTAAAAATATCAAAAAAAATATTTTATTTATTTTTAATATTAAGGATTATGAACTTCTAAGTAAAATGTATTTTCAGTATTAAAAAAAATGTAAAAATATGCTTTGGCTCTAGAATGTCTAAACTTGACCTATAAGATTTGGTTCACTCTATTAGGGTAGATTTACTTTAACCAATAGATAGATTAATAATTATAAAAAATACAATTATATCTTAGTAATATTTAAACAAATAAGCAATATAACTTATCTTAGATAAGCTATATTAGGGATGATATTGTCTTTTCTATATATTATTAGTTCACTTATCCAGACATTGGAAATCAGTTAGAGTTCTTAGCGATTAAAATATTAAGTGATGATTCCAATTCTTTTTAATTGATATATGATAAGAATTCTTTGTTTTTTTCACACCCTATCAAAAATTCTAATTCAGAAAGATAATCGTCACAATATTATTATTGTGCAACATATAATACAAGGATATTTTTTAGCTTTAACTCGAAATCATTGTAGTAGTTAGACTAAAAGAATAACCAAGGGTTTTTTTTTTTACTTGTTGTTGTTAAGATAACCATGTCCTTAATATCTATTGTTAAAAAAGGTTCAAAAATTGATAAGATCAAAAAACAACATTGTTTTAATTATCCAGTAGTATTCAGATTCCTGTAATAATTACTTCTCATCCTCATTTATTACCTTACTATTTTAGTCTAAATTATTAGTTTTAAATTATAACTTTACCAAAAAGTTGAGAACCATCCATGGCCCCTTTCCTGAAAGAAAAAAATCAGATCTAAAAGAATAACACAGGAGGAAATGGGAAGGAGGAGGTTGCAGATACAAAGGTTGGAATGTGTCAAGGCAAGGCAGGCAAAGTACTCGAAACGGAAAATCGGAATTCTCAAAAAGGCAAAAGAACTTGCCATATTATGTGATATTGATCTCGCCCTTCTCATGTTCTCTCCTACTGGGAAGCCCACCCTCTATGTTGGCCAAGACAAGTAATTTTTTGTGTTTTTTTTTAATATTTCCCTTCATGCTCAATTGTCTGTTTAGGGTTTATGACTGATTTTATGCACGGAAACCCTAACCATCATAATATATTATTAGATTATTTTGTTAAAAAAGAAGTATTATTTTTATCATGTATGTTTTTTAATAATATATTATTGGATTATTTTGTTAATTTTTTGCGTTTTTTAAATATTTCCCTTCATTCTCAATTGTATATTTGTGAGATAATACAAATTTTATCAAAATTATTTTTATTATTTATGTTTTGTAAGATAATATTATTATTCTTTTATAGAGATTTGAGTGCTGTTCTGGAAAGGATGTCAGCATTGACTTTCGAAGAACGAGAAGAAAGGTAGAGGTTATTACTTGAATGATGTGATAATCAGACAGGACTGTAATGCATTAGTTACTGTAATAAAATCTTAGGGTTAATGCACGACTGCCATTACTGTTCTCTTTATTCTTAATATTATTTATTTTCTACTAACAATTATGTTTATAAATGTGTTTAATTAGGAGGAGATACACCAAGACCGTAAGCTCTTCAATCCTTTCTGAATCATAGTTGCTATATTGTTTTTATAAATCTATTTTATATTTTATATGAACTCATGGTCTTAATTCTAAATTCCTTGTGTTCTTGAAAGATTATAAAGAAAATGTATCCAATAGATGACTCGGAAGCGCTTTCAAATAATTCTTTAATTCAGAGGTATAAAAACTGTGTAGACCAAGAAACAATCTTATATATATATATATAAACTTTATGACTTTTACCTGACATTTTTTCTACTTGTTTAATATTGCAGGGAGGAAGCAGTTAAAGTACGTTCTTTCATACCTAAAATAAATATATAATTCTTTTATGCTTTATTTTCGATTATTCTTAGCAACAAAATCATCACTTTACAGGTGAAACAGGCTGAATTGCTTGAATCGAAAGAAAAACTTGCTCAAAAGAGAAAAATATTAAGGTTACTACCATGCATCTCTACTTAATTTTGTTATTTTATTTTATACATAATTTAAAATTACTTATTACCATACTCAATCTTACTGTAATATCTTTGGAAAGGATGTCAGCATTGACTTTCGAGGAACGAGAAGAAAGGTAGAGGTTATTCCTTGAATGATGTGATAATCAGACATGACTGTAATGCATTAGTTACTGTAATAAAATCTTAGGGTTAATGCACGACTGCCATTACTGTTCTCTTTAATCTTAATATTATTTATTTTCTACTAACAATTATGTTTATAAATGTGTTTAATTAGGAGGAGATACACCAAGACCGTAAGCTCTTCAATCCTTTCTGAATCATAGTTGCTATATTGTTTTTATAAATCTATTTTATATTTTATATGAACTCATGGTCTTAATTCTAAATTCCTTGTGTTCTTGAAAGATTATAAAGAAAATGTATCCAATAGATGACTCGGAAGCGCTTTCAAATAATTCTTTAATTCAGAGGTATAAAAACTGTGTAGACCAAGAAACAATCTTATATATATATATATAAACTTTATGACTTTTACCTGACATTTTTTCTACTTGTTTAATATTGCAGGGAGGAAGCAGTTAAAGTACGTTCTTTCATACCTAAAATAAATATATAATTCTTTTATGCTTTATTTTCGATTATTCTTAGCAACAAAATCATCACTTTACAGGTGAAACAGGCTGAATTGCTTGAATCGAAAGAAAAACTTGCTCAAAAGAGAAAAATATTAAGGTTACTACCATGCATCTCTACTTAATTTTGTTATTTTATTTTATACATAATTTAAAATTACTTATTACCATACTCAATCTTACTGTAATATCAGAGATTGGACAAATCCGGATAAGATCAATGACCTAAGACAAATCAAGATAATGGAAGAGCATTTGGTTGCTACTCTCGCTAGAGTCAAAAGCAAAAAGGTATGTCCCATTTTTTAAAATCAATGTTTTATTTTTTTTCTTTCTTATTTGATAAATTAATATCTTATATACCGTTCATACTATCTCTCTGTCTATAAAATTTTTAAGACGGATCATTAAGCATTGTATTGCCCATATATGGTTGAGCTAAACTAATTTCTTAACAAAAAAGAAAACCCTCTTGATTGAGAATGCCTAGGCATCATGTATTTCACAATCAAAGATCTTGGATAAAACTTATGGTGTGTAATTAAAAAAGATTGCATTCCTTTTAAACATGTTTAGGATATATTTGGTAATAACATAATAATGTTTTTATAAAGTATTTTTTAATTAAAAATATAAAATAAGAATTTTTGAAATACATTTTAATATCATTATCAATATCACTACATATGCCTAATAGATAATAATAATTAAGAGTTTTCTTTTAATAATATATGATAGGAAACACGCATCATCCAAATGAAGTGGATAACACATGCAATATACATCAACCATTTTTAATATAAATAATAATTTAGTATTTGAAAACCATTTTAAATAAAATAAAAAGATAAAGAAATCTCTCAGCACATGCATATTCCCCCCACTTTTTACAAGCATTGTTGTATTTTCATATGTATTTTAAAAAAAAAAACTCTAATCTAAAAGTTAAAATTATATCCTAAAGGGAAAATTAATATCTATATTACAACTCAAAACACATGAACAAATCATTTTATCCTCAATTATGTTTTTAATGACAAATGCATTCCGTTGAAAAAATAATTTTATCTTCAATTATATGCTTAGCAAACTTTTTTTTGGAAAAAGTAATTATATTATTATACTATTTTAATTTATAATAATTTATATGTAGATAAATAATTATACAATGATCTCTTTTAGTTTTTTAGTTTTTGTTATAATTTATCTTTTAGTTTTTGTTATAATTTGGTGGTAGCAAAATAGTGTTATTCCCAAATGTTTTTAATTGAAAGTATTAAATAGTAATTTTTGGAATAGATTTTGATTTCGTTGACATGTCAATATCACAATCATATGCATAAGGGCCCATAATGATTAAGAGTGTTTTTGTATTTTAATTGAAAGTATAAAATAATAATTTTTAAAATGCATTTAGATATCTTTGACATGTCAATATCACACTCATTGTAACATACTGTTTTTTTTTTTAAAAAAATCATTAATATAATACAGTTTCAATCCAAACTCAGCTTAAAATACACTTGAAACCGCACTACCCAACACATCTCGACAACGATGAGACAATCCCAATGAACTTATAATTTATAAACTTCTCAAATTGCAGCACCGAGTGGATACAAAGGCATTGTCATGAGGTTTTAAATGAATAAAAAGCTCGACCTAACATAATAAAAATATTCTTATACACATCTGGTACTCACATGCATTGTATCTAACTTCAAAACTAATCACCTTTTTCTTTTTCCTAGATTGAGTTGCTGAAGGAGGGCTGCTAAACTTGCCATGTTCATCAGGTTTCGCTGTAGTTGTGCTGTTATTTTCCCATTAACTTCGAAGCGATGATAACTTGGCATATAATTATGTCGATTTTATGCAGGGAGTCATGGACTTGCGCACGCAGGATGCTCAGTTGCCTGGATCCTCCATGGAGTCGTTCTTTAGGCAAACGGCTAGTCTTTGTGCCTTTCTGCATAATGAATAATAATAAGCTAAGCTTATAGGGTTTCAACTATAACTCTTTTTTTCTTTTCTTTTCTATTCTTTTCTTACTTTCTATTTGCTTGCTTGCCAGACTTTGCAACATCACCTCATGGGACGTTGTTGAAATTAATTTATCCAGCTTTATTAGATATTACAAGGTTGTGTTTGAAAATAGGGTGTAAACTGTATTTTTTTTAAATTTAAAATTTTGTTTTTCTTAAACATTATTTTTTTAGATTGTTTTAATAGGTTGATTTTAAAAATAATTTTTTTTAAAATAAAAAAATAATTTTTTAATATATTTCTAAAATAAAAACACTTTAAACTATAATTATTAGCATACCAATTTCTTTAGCATAAAGAGAAGACAAGAAATGTGTCGAAGATCTAGAAAAATTGCTCTAGGGATGAGAAAAATTATTAATAACTCGGTTATACTCAGCTCAGGGAGCCATAAATTTCCTCACTCGTTATATTGGGAACCATAAAAACAACAAATTTAAATGGTGAAAGAAATATTGAAAATATCAAATCAATCCAGTTGATAAGGCATGCAATCTTTTACTGAGAAACATCAACACTTATATATCCTTTTACTTACCAAAAAAAAAAAAAACATCAACACTTATACTGGTGTGCGCAGGGAAACATCAACACTTATACTGGTGTGCGCAGTCAAGGCTCGCTGAGCACGCATTTAATGCACTGCTGCACGGGGTTTTTTCTCTCTTTCTGATGCACTTGACCAAAAGTTGTGGCAAAAAAATAAAAGTTTCACAATTTATTAACAAACAAAATTTATTAAATTTTTTTACTTAAACACGTGAGTACCATTCATAAAATATGATTCAAAACTCATCATTTGCTTCTATACTTAAAATATACTAATATGATTCATGTCTTTAACTAAAATTTTAAATTAACCTTGAATTAAACTACCCTAACCCTAAATTATACCTAGATATAAAACCCGAATTCTTATCTATAAACACTAACATTAATCTTAAACCCTAAACTCATAATTTCTAATTAAAAACTTTAAATTTTTAAATTTATAATCCAAATCCATATTATATAGCCATAAACCTCAAATTTTAAATCTCAAACTTATAATCCCTATATTCTTAATTCCAAAACATAAATCCATAATCCATAACCTTCAACTACCCTCTTTTAAATCCAAACCTTAAATTCTAAATACAAAACTACAATTTCTAAATAGTATCGATTGATGTGTTTATTTTTGAGATAGCATTTATAGTTGTGATCTAAAAAAAAATAAGTTTAGAAAAAATACTTTTATTAAAGTTAGTTGAATTTAGATACGTGTGTCATATTGTGCGGCGTTATGACGATTATCAACCCTAAAAAAATTATATGTATGGAATAGATAGATATATAGTCTATTCTAACAAAATATAAAGAGGCAATGAATTTTTGTCTCTTATTAGTAAAATATGGATCAGAAGTCGGCACCTAACATTTTGGTTACTAGAAAGCCTAATTAGTCTCAAAGATGGGGTATGAAGACTGGCTGTGTAAATGGAAGGTATTAGCACCCCAATAACACCCTAAATATTTCCTACTTAAGGTAAGCTGTATTGTTTTATATTTTCTACTTAAGGTAAGCTATATTGTTTTATTATCTGATAAATATTAAGGTATTGTTGTGGTTTCTAATTATTGGTCTGTCTATGGTTTAAGTCATCCTTTGTAATGAGATCTTTATTTTATCGGGTAAGAACCTAATTGTTCTATGTTGTAAAAAAATATCTTTTTAATATTAAAAATATGTTTTACATAGAAATTCATAATCCATGATACTCAAACAAACAAAATCTGATTTTTGTTATTTTTGCAATTTTGGCCAATATTCTCTTGACTTTAATAAATGATTATTAAATTCAAAATGCATGCTAAAATATTTTTTGGTGTATGAAAAAAAACACAATATGATTTTTTAGCTTTGAGACACTTGACCATATGCACGAAAATATTTTTTAAATTTTTTTTGACCAAAATCCGATATTTTAATATCGAAATTATACTTTTTCGACACAAAAATACTATCCGATATTAATCAAAATTATATAAAAAAACTACGTGAGAAAATTATAAAATTTTGAACAAAAAATATTTTTGAATTAAAAAAACTAAACTGGGCTATACCTGGCCTAGCCTTTCTAGGCTGGGCCGGTTCCAACTCATTTATTATGGGCGGGGCGAATGCCCCAGCTCAGGCCTAAATAGGTTGGTTACTATGAGCACAATAACCAACCATTACTGCATTTATTGCAGAATGTGATTTATTCACGTTCTGCATATAAATGCAGGTAAGGGAATAAATAGGGAAAAGAGAGGCGTGGTTACCTAAAGTGGTGGCATTGCTAGTGGTTCGCAGTGGCCGACAATGGGTGGCAGGGGCGGCATTTTCTTCTTCCTCTTCTCCCTTATTTTCTTTCTCTTATTTTCTTCTTCTTTATTCTTTTGTCTTCTCCCTTTCTTTGTTTTTTTTTTATTCTCTTCCTTCTCTCTCCTTTTCTGTTTTGTGGGATTTTTTTATCACTCCGTGCTCTCTTGTTTTTATAGGCAAAAAATAGAGGAGAGACGTTGGGGGGGGGGCATTATGCTAACGCCCCCA